TTCTGGCTCAATGGCACTTCTGAAAGATATTGTTTTGAACATTCTTTCTAAGTTTGATGTGTTACATAACGAGTACGCTGATGATGTACGAAAGTTAGAAAATATATTTGAAGTGTTAATGAATCCGCTGGACTCTATGGAGACTGAGTACCAACGATTAAAAACTCTTGCTAAACGAGGAGCATTCATTGCACCTCAGCCTTTTCACATGGGTTCTGTCGATAAGTATGTTCCAGGACGAGACGGCACTGTAGCATTGATCGAAAAACCAGTGTCTGGTTATGTTGTTCCACTGAGAAAAGTTTTAAAGGTTTTTTTGGAGCTTCCTGGAATGTTTCATTCAATTGTAAACTACATTCGAGTTCTTGAGTCAGCTCCTCCTGGAAAAGTTACTAACATTGTGCAAGGTAGTTTATGGCGTAATGTCAAACTTTCTTTCGGCGATAAAATTGTATTGCCTCTTGAAATATGTTTTGACGGTTACGAACCTGACAACACCTTAGGTTCTCACAAGGGAGACCATTCCATAGGTGCTCTGTACGCCCAGTTGTCTTGCTTACCCGAATATCTAGCCTCGTCTCTTGACAACATGTTCTCATTTGCAATGTTTGAATCGAAGTATCGAAAATCTTTTGGAAACGCTGTGGCATTTCATAGAGTTATTGAAGAATTGACGTTTTTACACGATGAAGGAATTACTCTGTGTATAAACAATCACAATGTGCAGGTATATTTTTGTTTAGTAGCAATTATCGGGGACAACAAGGGTATCAATGAAATACTTGGATTTATCGGTTCTTGGCGAGCTTATTTTTATTGTAGAATATGTAAGCAGCATCGTGACGTTATGAGCCACTGGTGTCATCCAGTACCTAATGGTAGTCTGCGTACCATTGACAATTATAGATTTGATGTCAATGTGCACGACCCTCAACAGACAGGCATTAACGAGGAATGTATTTTTAATGCAGTTCCTTCGTACAATTGCGTAGATTTCCCCTATTGTGACGTGGCCCATGATGTCCTAGAGGGGATGCTCAAGTATGACTTATGTAATATTTTGTATTATTGTATTGCTACGCGGGGATATTTCACTGTAGAGACTCTGTGTGAAAGAGTCGCTGGGTTCGACTATGGCCCCTCTGAGGTTGGCAACAAGCCTCCATCTGAACATTTTACTATTGAAAAATTGAGAAATTGCTCATTAAATTTGTCAGCTTGTGAATGGTTATGCCTTGGCCGGTATCTAGGACTTATGATTGGTGACTTGATCCCCGACAGATCCCATGAACTGTATGCCCCAAATGTGTGGAATTTATATAAAATTATTCATGAAATTTTAATGATTGTTGTTTCCCCTGTGGTTAACACAGGGGTACATGAGTATCTAACTGCTCTAGTTCAGGCACATCATGAAGGGCACATAGAATTTTTTGGTGCATTGAAGCCTAAACATCATTTTTTGTTGCACTATCCTAAGATGCTCGAACTGTATGGTCCTCTTCTTCCTTTAAGTGCCCTAAAGAGCGAACGTAATCATAGGCGAGGGAAAGTCTATGCACCTGCTTGCCACTCTAGGATTGACTTTGCATACAGTTCTATTGTAAAATACCAATTAATTTTATGTGATCGTCTCTTGCGAATTAACAACAATCCTCAGTTGTTGTACACTAAAATAACAAGAGTTCGTGTGCAATCTCTTCCAAATCATGAATGTTTTGTACATTTATTTCCCAATCAAGATCATGTAGAAATTGTCAACGCAGCCACAGTTTGGGGGACACTCTACACTGTTGAAATGATTTTAGTTTTAGAAGTTCAGGATTTGTTTCCAGTGTTTGGAAAAATATTGTACATTATGTTGTACAATGGTAATGTCGCTTTTATCTTCCGTAGGCTAACTACAATAGCTTACAGAGAACATATTTGCTCCTATGTTGTTGGAGACACAAACAGCCTTGGTTTCGTGCTGCAAAACGAACTTGTTTCCCACTCACCTCTGTGGCAAAGAATTGCCACAGATGATGGAAGGAATGTTGTGTGTTTGAGGCATTCTTTGTAGAACCTTTGATGTTAATACTGTTACAACTTTATTCATACTATTGTAAATATTGTAAAAACATTGTATTTATTGTAACCTTGTTAATATGGGTATTCATAAGAAGTCATACTGCTAAACTTGACCTGTATGCTTTTGAAGTGAAAAATGAATTTTTGAATATTAAATTGGCACTCCATATATACTTCCTTGATTTTCCGAATTATTTCCTGACCCTACGCTTGTAAACAAGTAAGATCTCGAAGGTCAGCCGTCTTATTCGAGGTTTGACATAACAACCATGTGATCAAAAACCATACGTCACACGCTCCAACAAGGCGTAAGGAAAAAGAAAAACAAAGACAGGTGTATGAAAAACTTCTTTATTCGTTTTTTTTTTGATGCCACAATAACGAAGCGCAGCAGCATTTTTCATCCCTTGAATCATGCTCCATACAGGCTCATTTTGTAGACAATCAAAGCAAAATGTACTCGATATGAGTAACTATCAGTTCCCCATGCAAGCCCAAAGTGACCCTGATTTGTTCGAGCACCACGTTCTCGTTCTCAGTCCCAATAAAGTGAGTCCCATTTGCCATTAGTTATATCTCACGGTTATCAAGCGCATTTCGTACTCGACGACAAGCTCGAAATAGGCTTCGTCGAAGGAAATTGTTTCAAATCAAACCCCAGTTGCGGTTGACCTGTCGTCCGTTGGAGTTTAACTTACAATCGCGCCGCACAACCCCCAATGGAGCTCAGTTGAAGTGCAATGTTGGCTCGGCCAATTCAAGTTCATTTGGGGATTG